ACTCGTGAAATAATTGTTTTTGTTTAATCATTAAATTCGGCCAAGTCACCAGCTGATTGTCAAAATTTCGCCGGCTTTTGCCGCTTGCTTCATTCCGCTTGCTGCCGCCTGCTCCAGCATGGCTCCAGCCGCCTGGGATCCACCGCCGATTGCCCAAGGGGAAGCCTTGGAAGTGGGGATCGGGCAAGGAGGCCCGATCCCCGGTTGGGAGCGCTAGTTCCACCAAGGACGGGACAGTGGAACATAGCTCCCCCTCCAGCTCCAGCTCCTGTTTCATAAAATGAACTGATCTTCAGATGGCCAGCCTGAACCATGGGCTGGCCCCTGCATCCGAACCCCTCCGTCCAGACTTTGGGACTTCTAGTTTTTTTCTTTCTTTTTCTTTTTATGAAATAAATAAAATATTTTCTTATTGCAATGGATTGGGGTTGGGATGGGTGGTGGGTTGTGATATATGAAATGCCTGTATATTGGTGATGCCTGTGGTTTATGAATATGAAATATGTATCCCTATGAACTCCCCTGTATCTTCACCTTCTTGACCCCTTACCCCATAAAACCGGCATGACCAGGAACTGCCTGGGGAAAGAGCCCAAGCCTCTTTTCCCTAAATCACCCTTTGATTGACCTATCTTGCATGGACAATGCTGCTGGCCCCCGATTTCGTCATCGGAGCAAGGCCAACGAAGGAAGGTTGGTCAGCAGAGCCCCGGAAAGAAAGGACTGATTGAATCACCCAGATACTGTTGATCCTCCGGGCGGTCCGGTATCGATCCAGCTATTCAAATTCCTTGCCAGACTCATCAAGAACAGGAAAGCCCTTTGTTTGCCAAACATCACCCTCTTCCCGCCTGGGACAATAGCCCGCATTCCAGCAGGCAGGAAAGCCCAAATCCCATCATCTTTCCCCCATTGTCCGTGGCCGTCCCGCCTCCTCGCTCCTGATTGGCCAGAACCCAGGAAGCGAGCGGAGGGTGCCCATTGGCCCTCCCGAGGCGAGGAAACGCTCCCATTGGCTCCTGACGGAGGCGGGCTGTCAAACCTCCTCCCAGCTGTTCCAGCCTCAGCCAATCAGCGCGAAGCCGGCTGACAGGGGGCGGGCGGGAGTTTCAAACTGCTTTCTTTTGTCTTGTACTGTATAAAAATGCCTGAAAATCTTTGTGCTGCATGCTTGCAGTGGCATGATTCCTGTAACGCATCCATTCAGCTGAATCGCAATTAAACGCCTCGGTCGCTGGACTCCTTTCGCCTCTGGTGAGCTTATTTGATTTTAATTATTTTTGGCGCTCTTGGATTGGCTTCCGGAAAAATCTCACCAAGGTATCCAGGACCCTCTTTGGTGCGGTCCTTGGGCTCTCCTCCCTGGAGGGGCCCCCTAAAAGAGCTCGATATCAAACCCACACACACGGATAGATATCTACATAAAAACTCCAACCATCACCCAAGTCAAAAAAGAAGTACCATTAAAGCCTTGGCAGACCGTGCAAAAAGAATCTGCGAACCCATCTCCTCCAAGATGACCTGAACCACCTCAACTGGGCTCTACAGGCCAATGGATACTCCACCTCAGACATCAGAAGAGCTGCAAAAACCGAGAACAAGCCACGAGAGTAAAGATGATCAAATTAAGAAGTCAATTTGGATAGAATACAATCATACATGAATAGAAGGAGTGCCTTTTTTGGACTGGCATCCTTTATTCTGAATAGACTACTGCAACGACTACTGCAATAGACTACTGTTACATCCCGAATAGACTACTGCAACGCTCTCTACGTGGGGTTGCCCTTGAAGACTGTTCGGAAACTTCAACTAGTCCAGCGAGCGGCAGCCAGATTGCTCACCGGGGCGACATACAGGGAGCACACCCCCCCTGCTATGCCAGCTCCACTGGCTGCCGGTTCAGTTCCGAGCACAATTCAAGGTGCTGGTTTTGACCTATAAAACCCTGTACGGTTCCGGTCCAGTGTATCTGTCCGAACGTATCTCCCGCTACGTCCCACCTCGGAGTTTGAGATCATCTGGGGAGGCCCTGCTCTCGACCCCACCACTCTCACAAGTGAGGCTGGTGGGGACGAGGAGCAGGGCTTTCTCAGTGGTGGCCCCTCACCTGTGGAACTCACTCCCTGGGGAAATCAGAGCATCACCATCCCTCCTCTCCTTCAGGAGGAGGGTGAAGACTTGGTTATGGGACCAGGCCTTTGGGCAACCAGGCAATTAAAGACCAGCAGGATTGACGAAATGGTATCAAAAGCAGATCTATGAGACAGCAAACACTGACAATGTAAGGGAGGAATTAGGTTTGTATTGATTTTATTGATTTTATTGATTTTATTGGAATAATGCATGAAGCTGTTGGTAACTGTGAATTTATTGTAATTTGTGATGATTGTTGTGATGCAGGCATCTAATCGTGCCTTTACTGTGTAAGCCGCCCTGGGTCCCCTTTGGGGTGAGAAGGGCGGGGTAAAAGAACCCCAAATAAATAAATAAATAAATAAATAAATAAATAAATAAATAAATATTCGGCACAGTCCCTGGCCTTGCAACAACGGCACTGGCTTTTCTGAGCTTCCAACATTCCCTTGCATAGCTTTCAAATACCAGTTTCCACTTCTTGTTTTTCTCCCTGCTTCACTTTGAAGGAAAAGGGCGGCTTATCAAACCCTTTAAGTCAAATTAAAGAGGGAACGGTGCGAAATGAATGGATGAGTTCTAAAGTGCCTTTGAGTCGGAGAAGTGCTTTGTGCTGAAATTACAATGGGCACTTATAGCACGGTCCCCCATTGTTTTAGCGTTCTGCTGCCCCCACCTCAATCAGTGTGAAGTTGACATGACTCGGAATTGACATTTGCACAAAGTGCAACACGCTATAATTTACGTGCATTACTACCCAGGGCCAGATCTGCAATCGCTTTGGCCCCATGCTGCGCCAGAAAAAGGCCACCCGGCTTGAAGCTCCGAGAATGAATGGCCCTCATCCCATTCTTTTTCTGTCCCCAAACTGGCCAAGTGGGATAATGACACAGCAGAAAACTTTAGAAATCATTCCTTGCCTGTTGCTTGGCGATGGCGTTGACAACCTGCTGAGTCAGCCTTACAAATGTCGGAGTTCGAACATTGGCTTTGAGATTGCTGCACAATGACAATGATTGGTTTTTCCCCAATATGCAGAAGCATATTGAGGATTTGGGGGTAAAAATCTTGGGGTTCAATTGGAAGGGAAAAACCGGGGGGTTCATTCAATTGCAGGGTTCTATTGCATGAAAATTTGCAGTTGGGGTTCAGTTGCAAGTGCAAAATGATTTTGTTCCTGTCAGTATGCACTTCATTCAATTTTGGGGTTCAGTTGCTTGCAAATGGCTGGATTCGATGGTTAGGTGCTAAATTGGATGGTGCATTCAATTCTGGGGTTCAGTTGCATGCAATTTGTGGGGTTCAAATGCAAAATTGAGGGTTCCGTCCTGGTCCTGTTCCTGTTCAACATCTTTCTTAATTACTTAGAGCAGTGGTTCTCAACCTTCCTGATGCCGTGACCCCTTAATACAGTTCCTTATGTTGTGGAGACCTCAACCATTAAATTATTTTCACTGGACCAAATTTAGCACAAATGCTCAATACGCTCAAATTTGAATACTGGTGAGGATTGTTTTTGTCATTTGGGAGTTGTAGTTGCTAGGATTTATAGTACACCTACAACCAAAGAGCATTCTGGACTTCACTAACGATGAAATTGAACAACTTAGCACAAAGAACTCCCATGACCAACAGAAATTATTGGAAGGGTTTGGTGAGCATTGACCTTGAGTTTTGGAGTTGTAGTTCACCTACATCTAGAGAGAACCGTGGACTCAAATAATGATAATTCTGGCACGAATACACAATATTCCCAAATGTGAACACTGGTGGAGTTTGGGGAAAATAGACCTTGACATTTGGGAGTTGTAGTTGCTGGGATTTATAGTTCACCTACAATCAAAGAGAATTCCCCACAAACACAAATGATATAATTGGGTTAAACTTCCCACCAGAAAATACTGCCTTTTCTGATGGGCTTTGGCGACCCCTCTGACACCCCTTCGCGACCCCCTCAGGGGTCCCGACCCCCAGGTTGAGAAACACTGACTTAGAGGAAGGGTTAGAAGGCAGGATCATCAAGTTTGCAGATGACACCAAATTGGGAGGGATAGCCAATACTCCAGAAGATAGGAGCAGAATTTAAAACCATCTTGACAGAGAGATGATTGGCCAAAACTAACACGATAATGTTCAACAGGGACAAATGCAAAATACTCCACTTAGGCAGAAAAAAGGAAACGCAAAGAGTCAGAATGGGGGATGATGCCTGGCTCGAGAGCAGGACGTGTGAAAAAGATCTTGGAGTCCTCGTGAGGAGGAAGGTGAGCATGAGCCAACAATGTCATGCGGCAGTTTAAAAAGCCAATGGGATTTTGGCCTGCATAAACAGGAGTCTAGTGTCTAGATCCAGGGAAGTCATGCTCACCCTCTCTTCTGCCTTGGTCAGACCACACCTGGAATCACACTGTGTCCAGTTCTGGGCACCGCAATTCAAGGAAGATGTTGACTCTAAGCTGGAAGGTGTCCAGAGGGGGGTGATTCAAATGATCAGGGGTCTGGAGAACAAGTCCTATGAGGAGTGGCTGAAAGAACTGAGCATGTTTAGTCTGCAGAAGAGAAGGAGGAGAGGAGACATGATGAGGGCCATGTATAAATATGTGAAACTACATTCATTCTACAGCAGGCATGGGCAAACTTTTCGCCCTCCTGGTGTTTTGAACTTCAACTCCCACAATTCCTAACAGCCTCAGGCCCTTTCCCTTTCCCCCTCAGTCCAAAACACCTGGAGGACCAAAGTTTGCCCATGCCTATTCTACAGAATAGATCTCCAAACCTTTCGAAGCTCTGGATGGATCTTTGGTCTGCTCCGGCATTTGATGTTTCAAGTCCTTAGCTAAAATATTTGTCTTTTTGGCTTCTAGGCGACTACTTTGGCATCCTAATGGAAGCAAAGGTGACCGGCTTCCCCTTCAGCGTCTTGGACAACCCCATGTACTGGGGAAGCACCATTGTCTACCTTGGATGGTCTATGATGTGAGTCATGTGGGGACGGGGGAGATGGTTATACTTGTCACTCAAGACTTTGCTAAACTACAACTCCCAGGATTCTATGGGATTGAGCCAGGACAGTTCAAGTGGTGTCAAACTGTATTTATTCTCCAGTGTACCCCTAGATTAAGAAACTGAGACTCTTGCTAGTTTTAAGCATGGAAACCCTCTCCCAAAGATTAAGTCCACTGTTGTTCTGATGTCAACGATCAATGTCACCATGAAGTATCCCAAATCCTGGTAGATCTGGCAGGATCTTTATTTCCAAGGTTACCCAATTGAAATCCTAGCTGCCGAGGATGAATTAATGATCATCTCTGACTCTTTGTCATCGCCAAGGACTTCTAAATAATGCAAGAAAATTGCAAAAGGTGCCACGTCCATTGCATTCTTTTGTCCTGTATAATCCAGGAGCAGCTCGGTGTTGCCAAGTCTCATTTAAGAGATGAAAATGGGGGATAAATATAATAAATACAATAATGATAATGATAATGATAATGATAGACCTGGCTTTGGGTACCATTTTGTCTTTTGCTTTGGAAAGCTAAATATTTAGTCCTCTTGTCCTCTATCGATCTATCTGTCTGTCTATCCATCTATCCATCCAATGATCGGTCTATCTATCTATCTATCTATCTATCTATCTATCTATCTATCTATCTATCTATCTATTCATCCAGTCATCCTTCTACCTACCTACCTGTCCAACTGTCCATCCAATAATCAATCCATCCACTTGCCTACCTAATCCACCCATTTAATAATCAATCTATCCATTTATCTCTCTCTCTCTATCCATCCATCCAATCATCTGTCTATCTATCTATCTATCTATCTAGCTAGCTAGCTAGCTAGCTATCTGTTCATCCAGTCATCCATCTACGTACCTACATATCCAAACAATAATCAGTCCATCCATCTACCCATCCATCCAATCATCTATCTATCTATCTATCTATCTATCTATCTATCTATCTATCTATATCTATCCACTCACCCACCCGCCTAACTACCTATCCAATAATATATATCCATCCATCCATCCATCCATCCATCCATCCACCCAATCGTCTGTCTGTCTGTCTGTCTGTCTATCCATCCATCCATCAGTCCAGTCATCCATCTATCTATCTACCTACCCACTTACCTACCTATCCCATCCATCCAATAATCAATCAATCCATCCAGTCATCCATGTACCTACCTACCTACCTACCTACCTATCTACCGACTTACCTACCTATTCCATCCATCCAATACTCAATCAATCCATCCAGTCATCCATGTACCTACCTACCTACCTACCGACTTACCTACCTATTCCATCCATCCAATAATCAATCAATCCATCCAGTCATCCATGTACCTACCTACCTACCTACCAACTTACCTACCTATTCCATCCATCCAATAATCAATCCATCCAGTCATCCATGTACCTACCTACCTACCTACCGACTTACCTACCTATTCCATCCATCCAATAATCAATCCAGTCATCCATGTACCTACCTACCTACCTACTTACCTACTTACCAACCTATCCCATCCATCCAATAATCAATCCATCCATCCATCCAGTCATCCATGTACCTACCTACCTACTTACCAACTTACCTACCTATTCCATCCATCCAATAATCAATCCATCCATCCAGTCATCCATGTACCTACCTACCTACCTACCTACCTACCTACTTACCGACTTACCTACCTATTCCATCCATCCAATAAGCAATCAATCCATCCATCCAGTCATCCATGTACCTACCCACCTACCTACCTACCTACCTACCAACTTACCTACCTATCCCATCCATCCAATAATCAATCAATCTATCTATCTATCTATCTATCTATCTATCTATCTATCTATCTATATCTATCCATCCATTCATCCATCCATCCATCCATCCATCCAATAATCTATCTGTCTGGCTATCCATCCATCAATCTCTTTAGTTCAGTCATCTTCTCTGCTAAGGAGAGTTCAGTGGTGTCAAAACTGCATTATTTCTGCAATGTAGAGGCACCCCAAATTCCTGAGAATGGAGCAAAACATAAATGCAGCCACCTTCCCCTTCTTTTTTGCCTCTCAAAGCCTCGCGATACTTCCCTCCTCCAGTTTACTTGGGCAGCTGGTTAATACTGATTTGACCTTTTTGAAGAAGGATCTTATGTAATAATGGCGCCAAAGCCAGCGAAAAAAGAAAAGAAAGGAAAGCTGCTTAATCCTCTTGGACTTGAATTCAGAACAGGACTTTCTGTCGCGTTCGCCGCATTTCCAAGCCGGATGATGCAGATGCAGGTGTGGGACAAGGATAGATATTTCTAGTAGTATCATTATATAATTTCTCAAATCTTTCTTAAACTATTTTGGAAATTATTTCCAAATATTCTTCCTGCCTTTACAAAAAAGGCACCAATTTTCTCCTAATTGTGGTTACCCTCCCATCTGCCCTTCTGGACAATTCAATCACGGTCTCCATGACGCCCACAAACCAAGGCTGTTTCCTTCCATCCCAACAAGAACATGTTCTGGGTGACCTCATGAAAGGCACTTGGGGAACGTATCCAATTTCCTGGGCTTCATATTCCGACTCCTTTTTAAAGTCAAAGGAAAAGGCAGGATAAAGGGGAAAATACGAGCTGGAATGACAATCTATAGACAATCTATGCATCCTTCAGTCTTGGGTACCATCATTTCCATTTTTGGTGGGGAAATAATATTTTTTAAGTCTCTTAAGGGTGCATCTACATCAGGCATGGGCAAACTTTGGCTCTCCAAGTGTTTTGGACTTCAACTCCCACAATTCCTAACAGCCTACCGGCTGTTAGGAATTGTGGGAGTTGAAGTCCAAAACACTTGGAGGGCCAAAGTTTGCCCATGCCTGATCTACATTGTAGAATTGAAATGGGTTGACACCCCTTGAACTCTCATGGTCTTGGCTCCATAGAACCAACAATGGGCGATCCTTGGAAGATAGGTCACCTCCCCATAAGAGACTTTGGATACATCTACAACTTCGAATTAATACAGTTTGATACCACTTTGACTGCCATGGGATTTGTAGTTTGGCAAGGGCACCAGTGCCCAGTGGCAGGGAAGAGTGGACTGGAACTACCAGAATCCCATAGTAAAGTTACAAATGGTACCCATAGTCATCTATTATTTATTTATTTATTTATTTATTTATTTATTTACTGTCCTTGTATACCGCCGTTTCTCAGCCTAACTGGCGACTCAACGCGGTTTACAACAAAATATACAGTGCACAGTATACAATTAAAACCATAAAAAACATAATACACAATATTACACGTAAATCACAATCCAATACATCTCCTAACTAAAATCGTGGTCCAATTGCATCATCCATATTACCAATCCGTAATCAACACATTCATTGCACCGAATTAACCAAATTAACCAAACATTATTATTAATTATTATGACCCAACTTTCTCTTAAATGAGAAAATGGCATCAAATGGCATCCATTCAAAGGTGTATTGTTGTTGTTGTTGTTGTTATTACCCAACTTCCATCTCCTAAATAAGAAAATGGTGTATCATCATCATCCTCACCCTATTATTACTATTACTGTTATCATTGTCATTATTATCGTTACCAAGCTGCTTTTATTATTACCCAACTTCCATCTCTTAAATGAGGAAATAATCTCAGTTCTTGTGGGTTTTTTCGGGCTATATGGCCATGTTCTAGAGGCATTTCTCCTGAGGAAATAATGTCAAATGGCATTCATTTGAAGGTGTATTTATCATTATTATTATCATCACCATCATCATGATCATCATCCAACTTACCAAACTATTATTATTATTACGCAGCGTTCATCTCTTAATTATGGAGCCCCCAGTGGTGCAGTGGGTTAAACCCTTGTACCAGCAGGACTGAAGACTGACAGGTCGCAGGTTCGAATCCGGGGAGAAGCGGATGAGCTCCCTCTGTCAGCTCCAGCTCCCCAAGCGGGGGCATGAGAGAAGCCTCCCACAAGGATGATAAAAAACATCAAATCATCCGGGCGCCCCCTGGGCAATGTCCTTACAGATGGCCAATTCTGTCACACCAGAAGCAACTTGCAGTTTCTCAAGTTGCTCCTGACACAACAAAAAAAATCTCTTAAATGAGAAGGTGATGTATTATTGTTATGTATTGTCAAAGGCTTTCATGGTCCGAATCACTGGGTTGTTGTAGGTTTTTTCGGGCTATATGGCCATGTTCTAGAGGCATTCTCTCCTGACATTTCGCCTGCATCTGTGGCAAGCATCCTCAGAGGTAGTCAGGAGAAAATGCCTCCAGAACGTGGCCATATAGCCCGAAAAAACCTACAACAACCTATTATTATTATTATTATTATTATTATTATTATTATTATTACTACTGCCCAACTGCAGGGTAGGAGAAAGAACTCTTGTCTACTTGAGACAAGTGTAACTGTTGCAATTGGCCACTTTGATTAGCATTGAATGGCCTTGCAGCTTCAAAGCCTGCCTGCTTCCTGCCTGGGGAATCCTTGGTTGGGAGGTGTTAGCTAGCCATGATTTGTTTCCTGCCTGGAATTTACTTTCCAGTTCTAGGAAGTGATCCCCCTGCAGGAAGCAGCCAGGCTATGAAGCTAGAAGGTTATTCAATGCTAATCAAGGTGGCCAATTGCAACATTCACGCTTGCCTCCAACAGATAAGAGTACTTTCTCCCACCCTGGACATTCTACAGGTATATAAATTCCACTTGTCTAGTTTCCAACAGACCTCACAACCTCTGGGGATGCCTGCCATAGATTTGAGCGAATCAAAGTGCTAATCAAAGAAGTGCTAATCACTAGTGCTAATCATCAGTGCTAATCAAGCTGGCCAGTTGCAACATTCATGCTTGCCTCCAATAGACAAGAGTTCTTTCTCGCACTCTGGACATTCCACAAATATGTATACTCCCACTTGCCTAGTTTCCAACAGACCTCACA